GAAGACTCTCCTTCCCGCGGCGGCTGTCCAGATGGCCGCTGCGCAGGAGCTGATGCGATTCGGATGCTCGCAGCTGACCATCGACCGGATCGACCCCCTGGTAGAGCCGGGCAACATGCCTTCGGCTCACATGCACCAGATCATCGGTGGTAACTCGCTGAACGCCAGCATGGCGCCCGTTGACCACGACCCCCCGACGGTCTCGACTTGCACGTCCTGCACGTACTCTGAGGATTTCTCCAACTACTGGACTGCTAACTTGTACTTCCGCGCTCGCAACGGCACCTACAAGCGCGTTCCCCAGTTCGCTAACTTGGGTCTCGGTGGTATGTAGTCCATTATACTTCATGATCAATCAGAATGATTAGGGCTAACATAAGCTCGTAAAGTGGAGGCTGGTATGACAGTCTACTACATCCGTGGCTACCAGCCCAGCGCCACGGTCACGGCCTTCCCTCCGGTGAGTTTTGAGGACCCTCTTCTGAAAAGAGCTCTCTAATTAGGAAATTCCAAATTCTAGGGATTCCGAATGCTGGTCGGTGACCCGGCGAACCGTGAAGCTGGCACCATGCAAAAAGGTCTATGCTACCGATGCGAGGCTAACATGCAACAAAACCCCTTCGGTGGAGCCCCGTGTACCGGCCAGGACACGCAGGCCTTCCCCAAGGATGCTTGTGGTACGTATATCAGGGACTGTCTATTCCTCTAGTCCCCAGTCATCCTAGAACTTCACTTGATCGTCACCACTTCCAGCGGATTTCTTAAACAAGTTGTAGCCCCCTTGAAGAAGAAATAATTAACTCTCATTACTATAGGTGGTGGATGGCGTGTCAGCGTACACTTTCCGACTTGTTGGGATGGACGCAACCTCGACAGCCCCAACCACAAGGACCACGTCGCCTACCCCAGCGGAGCGTTCGAGTCGGGAGCCGCATGCCCTTCTACTCACCCGTAAGTAGCTTAGGGCTATAGTTAGGATGATAGATGCTGACTAGGAACAGAGTCAAGATGCCTCAAATCATGTACGAGATCATGTTTGACACGCGTGCCTACAACAACAAGGCCGAGTGGCCCGCAGATGGCTCCCAGCCCTTCGTATGGTCAATGAACGACACCACCGGGTATGGCCTGCACGGCGACTACCTGTTCGGCTGGCAAGGAGACGCTCTTCAGAAAGCCATGGACGGAAAGTGCTCTGGCGACCGCTGCTCTCCGCTCAAAAGACAGACCGACCAGGAGGCCATCGCTTGTACCAAGTCCCAGAGCGTTGGAGAGGACATCGGCGACGACTGTGAGTTATCTCTTATCTCTATTTCTCCTTTATACTATATTCGGGCATTCAAGTATTTGGGCTAATCATATGCTTCAAGGGCTCCCTAACCTCCCCGGCTGGTAAATGCTGCCAACGAGATAAAGGCTGAGAGCTGAAGAAAGGAGGGACAAGAAGTTGTTGGGCTAGTGTCTCAACAACGTGCTTGTTGTTATGAAAGAGATTGCTTATTAGACAGATTTATCAAATATCCCCTTTATTTACATCGTCCTGCGTGCAAATGTGTGCTATCTTAGACAAGCTGAGTGGACTGACTGTCCTAGAGGTTATGCGATGGCCTAGCTAACCTATCTCTTCTACCACGAAGTAACTGTCCGTATTGATTGAGTTTATAGATGCTAGACTAAGTTGCATAATAGATTGCGTGCGAGATCCATATCCCAAAACAGATCGGCAGGTAGGTATCCAAGGATTTCGAAATAAAATGGCTGGTAAAAACAATTTGATTCGAGCCTAAACAAAGGTTTCACTCAAGTCTTATACTAATAGATTGCTGTCTTTAATATGTCATTATCAATGCCTTGTTGTGGTTTCTGGTCAGCTCACAACCAAAATGAACATTGAAACATGTAAAGTAAAACAAATTGTCGTCCGCAGGATTTGTTTCGTTTTATTTGCTTCAACTAAGTATAGCAATTCATTCAAACGATTCCGGACTGTGTTCATTGTCCTTGAAGATCACATTGCAAATCTTTGTTACCAGAAGAGTAGTCTAAAAGCCTTGATGGATACGCACCATGCTAAGACTTCTAGCGAAATTTATATTTATTTACTAGGTGCTACATTCTGGTTGCCTATTCCGCTGCGAAACACCAAAAACTCGAGGCTACTATATTTTTGCCATCATGTCACAAAATAACGACCCAAATCGTCAACATGCTAGCTCCCACGAAATTTGGTCAACGCCTTCTCCGTCCAAAACTACTCCCTACAAAACTACTTCCTCTTATCAAACTTCCCCTTCTCAAACTTTCCCTTATAAAACTACTACCCCTTACCAAACTGCTCCTTATAAGACTACACTGGCCGGGCCTGGTCCGCCCCTACGGAATGCTGACCCTTCTCTAGTGCCTCGCCCGCTTACGGTGTCTCGTCAATTTCCAGACCCTCATTCGGCTCCAGGGCCTCGGCTGGGTCCAGAGCCTTATGTGTCTCCATATAGAGAGCCTCGAACGGTTACGAGTCCTGTAACGCCTGGGTATTATATACCCGCAGAGCCTGGTGAACCTTCGTCTAGAAATGCCCCTTCAGGGCCTCGCCCGTTTCCTGGAGCTTCACCTAGAATTGAAACGGCTACGGGCCCTGTGCCGTATAGGTATTATATACCTCCAGAGTCTCCTTCATCTTCATCTGCAACTGGACCTCGAACGGCTACGAGCCCCGTACCGTCTGAGCCTTTTGCACCCTCCGAGTATCTTAAATCTTCGTCTAGAACTGGGCACCAAACGGCTCCTCAGTCTACGATACTTGGGCCTGTACACTCAAATGAGCATCGAGTAACTAAAAACACCGGACCAACTGGGTCTCATAAAAAAACTCCCACTAAAACTGGGAGGACTCACGACACAAGCAGTGGTAGAGCAGTAGTGAACATAGTCGAAGAACCATTAACATCAAAAAGTCCAACCCCATCGAGAGTAATGGTAGCAGGGCCTAGAGGACCTCAACCAGCGAACTTCGTACCCAAAAAATCGCCAGTGATAAGGCCCTACCTGGGCATACGCCCAGCTAACCTCGATGCGAGCGATAACATCGACGAAGAGGAGTCTGAGGATTTTTCCGATATGAATTGGTTACAGTCAGCACCACAACCAGTACCAGGCTGGCCATTTAATCAACCGAAATCGGTTCCAACGGCGCTGAGAACTGGACCGGTCTTCCCGGATGGTCGAGGATACGGCCAAGGGCTTGGTCGATCAGTAGCAGGAGTCCCCTCGGCGATGGTGCCAGGGGGCGTACCCCCGCCGCAACCACATACTACTGGACCGAGGAGTGCATTTGATAGACTACTGCCACCATATCTAAGAGGCAGGAAAGATGGTGGTACAGACAAAGAGGTGGTGCCGGTGAGGGCTAGCAGCAGTGGCGCTGGCGGTGGTGGAGGAGGAGGAGGGGGAGGAGGGGGACCACCCGGAGGTGGTGGAGGAGGGGGGCCTGGAGGCGGCGGTGGTGGTGGAGGAGGGCCACCTGGGCCACCCGGAGGACCTGGGGGACCTGGAGGAGGGCATGGAACTAATAGGATACGAGATCTTGCAGACAGGGCACAGGCAGAAGCCAATCTTGTTCGGCGATTCTTCGAAACTGACACGGATAATTTTAGATTCTTAGGCATTGTCGGCTACGGGCAACATAACGTTGCGTGCAAAGTCAAGTGGAGGACACGCTTTTACAAGTCTCACGAGTCTCAACTATTTATCGTCAAACGTGGAATCACTAGGGGCCAGAACACCAGGTTGAGGCGCGAAGCTAAAATATTGAAGGTCAGTTACAAGAACAAACTCCTGCCCCCCTAAAGCATACCATCTAACTTCTGAAGTTGCTTCGTGGATCTGGACACATCGTCCAACTATTCCAAGCAAAAGGTAACTCGAATCCTATGGATCTCGCGCATGGCCAGACAACTCAAATCGAGTTTGTTCCAAACGGTAGCCTGTATGACTTCGTACATAAGAAGCGAGGTCCAGACGATGAATTACCAAGCCGAGTGCTCTACGGGTTTTTCATGTGCCGTAAGTATTACGCCGAGACCCCGATCAATATCTTTTTACGATTATGACTAACGCTTCCCCTCCGGGGTAATAAGTTATCCGATTCGTCGTAACCATGGCCTACCCAACAGAATATGATGCTGGAAAGTCCCGAGAAGAGATTATTCCCGAGAACGCGGAAGGATGGAATACTTCGATTGTTCATCCCAATCTACACCTCAGGGACAGTAAGTAGATCTAACTATCTACCCCCCACCGAAGTCATCGAGACTGTTTACTAACGTATTGCTCTAGTACTTCTTGGGGATTTTGATCCACCTCGTACAGATGGTCCTCATACCATGTCGCCTTTTATGCGTTTAGTCGACTTCGAAGCTGCTGAGATATTCAATGACTCAAAAGAGTAAGTAAGACTCTTTGTATTCAAAGAATTACAGTACTAACATAACCTGTGAAGCCGAGACGCTGGAGTCAAGAGAAATATTAGACGTATTGGGCTGGTATGTGGCTATCTCTTGACGTATGATTATTATGATCAACTTTCTAACACAAATATACTGAACAGATAATGAGATGCCTAATTGTTGGCGACACAAACATGAATCCTGGTGTGATTACGGTAGAATACTCGGATGGCAGTCATGATTGGCCGGTTCAAACGCAAGCAGACCTCACGACTCACGAATATCCAATGTTAGATGCGATCTTAAAAGACCTGATAATTCAATGTTGCGCTGTCGAGGCTAAGGATAGACCTGAGCTCCAAACATTGGTCAATGCAGTCGAAGAATACATCACAGAACACAAAGCATATGAGAGTTACACAGATAGGCAAAAGATGCTGCAAGCAGTTCTAGAGCCATAATTCAGAAGTCAAGATAGGCACGTATATAACTTACATAGAAAATTTTATCTGGAATAAAATTTATATGTTTAAAAGGATTTTTGTAAAAAGGAAAAAAAGGTCTCCCTGGGAATCGAACCCAGATCGGCGGAATATTCACGATATGTGATCAGAATCCGCAGTGATAACCATTACACTAGGAAACCGGGAGTAGTATTAGATCCACAGGATGTGTGGACTGACGAACGGTTTCCTATACTAGCTCATTAGTCCCGCTCGCCACTTGCACTTCGGTAGCGCCAGAATACGTTCGAAATAAATATCACTAGGTCCTGACTACCTCGTAGGTAAACGCGATGAAAACACGTCTTGCCATGGAATACATACACCGAATGATCACTTGGTCGTAAAGACGCATCTCTCATGGCTGGTTTGTGGGTCATCTGTCCACCTCTATCGTTTGTCATGGGCCCTATTATCGACATTCGGCCAGCTAAGTATAGGTAGAAAAAAAAGAAAGAAAAAAGAAATTGAAGATAGAGTCCGACCTGCGCATCTTAGATAAATCAAAGTCGATTCACAACTCCTCTCTCAGATCAAACCGTAGACCGCCTCTACAAGTTGTCCAGCAGATGCGAGACATCCTCGTTGTCTTACCGTTGCCAGGGTGGCCGGACAAGAAGATGTTACAGCACACAGAGGACACCGAACGTTATGAATAGGTATTCTCTGTGCTGTTGTTGCCTCTTCGGTCGAAAGGTCGCTCCGAAGGCCGAAAGGCTCGTCCGTAACTGGTCTCGGACCTGCCGACTCATGGACACCGAGAACTTACGTGTTACGGAAATTGTCATGAAGTCTGTGCGGCGACAGGCAGAAACTGGAATAATTGATGCCTGTTGGAACGTAGGAAATGAATCTGACCGCTTACTTGCGATTAGAGAGATGGCCAACCACCGCGGCGGCAGGTTCGCGGAGAATACAAATATCCACGAAACCTACTGCTTTGAAACTGTCCTCATTAGCATCACAAAATCTCTGAAGATCATATATACGGGTTTATATCTAGTGCCTATTCCTACCTCAAGCTACCAATTCGCAAATTTTCAACTCCCTTCCAGTCTTAAACCATGACGGCCAACAAAGTTATGGCCACGGACGAGCAGCGTCAAAGCATGGCCGTAGCCGAAGCCACCGGTCTCGAATCTATCGGCCCGTGCCCATCTCACCTCGGCGAGGCATGGATCGACATCCCCCTACCTAACAACCAAACGAGCAGAACGAAGGTGGTGTGGCCAAGATCGTCCGGGAAACAGTGCCCACTGGCTGTCTACTTTCATGGCGGTGGCCTCTCGGTGGGCAGCCCCGACCAGGTCCTGGCACCTGCTCGCGGCTTCGCAACTCTTTTCTCCTGCGTGGTGGCCTGTCCGAGCCTGAACCAACTCCCCGAGAAGCCATTTCCGTCACCAGTGCAGATGGCCTGGGAATCGTGCGCATGGTTATCCGACCCGGAAAATTTGAACAATGGCGTACTGAAGGACGCTGGAGCTGGCGTCAACCCGGAGCGTGGCTTTGTAGTTGGTGGCCTCAGCTCGGGCGGAGCTACCGCCGCTGTCCTCGGAAGCATATCTGGTGGTGCGGCTTCGGCTGGGGTTAAGGAGTTTGCCGGGTTGACTCCTCTCCAGAGCCCCATCACTGGCATTTTCTCGGGAATCCCATTCTTGGCCACTGAGGATATGCTTCCGGCACAGTATCGAGACATTTTTAAGTCTAGAGAGGAGACGGCCAGTGAAGTTGCAGCTCACACCATGCGGCGCGATCTGGAGTAGCGTCTTGATGCGCATTCCCCTTGGTTCTCGCCCCTCAATCTTGACATATCCAATCCTAAGGTTACTCAGCATCATCCATCAAAGGTTTTCATATACGGCGGACAAGCTGACATGTTCCGTGACGACTCTGTGATCTACGCGAAGTGGCTGTCGCAGTTGTCAGGGGTGGAAGTCAGGGCCTTCGTGCTTGAGGGTATAAACCATGTTGGTTGGGTGACATTACCTTTGCCATTGCCAGCTGAAGACATTCGCAAACTCAAGGAGGTGACCCTTGATGGTATGGCCTGGCTTTTAAACCTGGGATGGGATAAGACCCAGGAATTGCCCCTTTAGCCTTGGATGCTGCAACTTACCTGACTCCTTGATTACCTAGGTACCCATGAGAATTTTTCGACTTTTCCTCTAACTAGTGATGATCCCCGGTCCCTCAGGTTAAACCGATGTACATAGCTCAGTGTCAAATTCAAATTGTCATTCGATGAAATATAGCTGTTGCGAAATAAGTCGACTAGAGTACCCTCTAGCAAAGGGATAGAGCTAGAGCTTTGTGTGTTAGGAAAACTCTTCTTTCGCTATTTTGCCGTACCCGCACATAATAAAATCCAACACTCCTGTCCCTAGGAAAAGACCTAGGTGCATCTTCTTATAGCAATTCAGAATCATCATTAAAAGCACCTAGTATACCTACTTAGGTTTAAAATAGCTTAATAGGGGTGGACCTGAGCTGATTAACCACAACAGGATTCGAACCTCCTACTCGGATTTCGTAAGGTGTGGGCGGAGGCCATATCCACAACACAATTCACCGAACCATGCGTGAAATAAAGTAAAAAGAAGATAATCTAGCGACAACGACAGGATTCGAACCTGTGCGCTCGAAAGCATCAGATAACTGATCCGCAGATGCCAAGATGCTACGGCCATTCAAGTCTGACCCGTTAACCACTCCGGCACGTTGCCATGGAATTGACTAAAGTAAGTGGAATTGCACTTAATAACTTGACTTGCTTTCACCTAGATACCTATTACTGATCCAAAGAGCTATTACCCATGCTCATCCACTTCTAGAAGATACCCAGAAAGAAGCTCAATAAATGCTTTAGAATTGTTCAAGCCCCCTCTTAGTTTAAGGGGCGGGTATAAATCTAGGCGCTAGAGTGGCTCCGCGGCATATGTGCTATTCGATAACGGCTCTTTCAGCTTTAAACTAAAGCCAACGCTAGACAGAGAGGTGATGGCTTCGGTTCGACACACTAATTCATTATAATTCTCCGGTGACTAGCCCTCTACAGTTCTAGGCTAAATGATGTGATGAAGAGAAGCACTCACCTATGCCTTGATATTTGCAGCATTAATGTGATATCTTACAGCAAATTAGTGACGGGGGGGGGGGGGGGGGGGGGGGGGGGGATGCGCGCGTCTATTGATGCCCAAGTGATGCGCGACAAACCTTGCCTACCAAGTTCAATCATCATTCAAACCAGGTATCTACATCGAACTACTATTGTAGGGAGCATGTTATCTGCTCTGAGCTCTTTTGAGAAAATTGCCTACCTCATATGTAATCATTGAAGCTATCGTGAACCCTTGGTCTAGAACCTTGAGTGCCAAAGCGCGGAAAGCCACCGCGGCCCGGAATACCAACGAGATTGAGCTGAAAATTGCTCTTTGCCTATGGCAGAGAATCCTTCTCTAGAGGCTATGCCTAATATGAAATAGTTACCTGAAACAGACGCTATATCTCGCGTGGCCGCCCACTTAAGCTTTCTCCAAGCCTCGGCCGGAGATGGGATCCTACCTTGAAGCTAGCCCCCTGAGGCGATTATAGCTTGTTTTCCAGCCAATAGGAGCGTTTGTACCGCGATTCGTGAAGCGATCTGTAGCGATGGAAGGCTTGAGTGCGATGACTAAAGGAGACTAGTATCAGTCGGTGACCCCTGATATTATGTGATCACGGAAAAAAAATTCCCAGAATATCAGGGGACACTTGACGTAACCTGAAGGCAAATATCTGTTGTATATCAGTTAAAAGGTAGCAAAGAGATAACTTCATTATACTTTTGATGCAAAAGGTAACCGGAAATTTTTGTTAAATAATACCGATGAAGTATCTTGTTGATAGCTGTCTACCTAGATAGCCGAACATATTTTGTACCAATCACTTCTTAGAACATGGAGATGTTTTGAGGCAGTCCGGGGAATATTACCCATCTGTGTGCTTTGATATCTATTAGTTCTGGCATGGCGTGGCGCCAAGTTAGAGGTAGTCAATATGCTGAGGCTCTGTTTCTGTAGGCGATGGGAATACGTAGGCAGATGGTCCAGACCAGGCTCAGCTGTGCCCAAGTCATTCACGTCATTCAGCTAGGCGACATGCTCACCGGGGTAGGTATAGCGTCATTATTAGCGAATAGTCTATTTAAATTGGATTTCCAGTTTGTCGGGTCTAATGGGGGTTGTATGTAGTCTAGACCCTGGTACCTGACTTAATCCTGACTCATGATTGGCATTAGAATATCTTTGCCAGATCAGGCAGATTTGGTTTGGGTGAACTAGTTGGCATATTCCTAGTTGTAGGCAGATGGTTGTTTTAAGCATCCTGACAGGAACCCCCCTTTCTCGTTGCTGCAATCGTTATCTTGGGGTATACTGACAGAAAAGGTCCAGAACCTACATACCAGAAACTAGAAGTATTCGAATATCAAATTCTACTCAGACTAATCGGCTTGGATTCCGCTTGTGTAATATTATCAAGGTGTAAGTTTTATTATATAAAGAGTATCAATCTAAAGTACCATCGTAAATGATTTCTTGGCAATTATGCCCTTGAAGAAAACACCGAAGAAGGACAACGCAATGGCAAATTTCAAGATAGTAAAAACCAAATGTTGATCAGTCCAGTTTAATCCAGACCCTATGACAGCTACCTAGGTAGGCAGCTATTCGAACTACGCTATCCAACAGTATAGCTCCAGATGCCGCCAAATTGTGCCAAGCGAACCGGGAACCAACCGGAGCATACAACTGGGTTAGCCTCATACAAGCGGAGGCATCCTGTTGAGCTGTACCTTACGGAATGATCGTACGTCAACCAGTCTGTTACCACTGTTAGCGCCGGCGATGTAGAAGAGCCTTTGGGTCGAGACCGACTCTAGACTGATAGAACATCATGGGGCAGGGCTCCCTCAGTATCACAGATTCTCAGATAAAATGGCGGGAGCATCCTAATACTTCCAATATACCACTGCTGTTGGCTTGAGACTTTAAGTTCCCTCATCTCTTGCGAGCTACCGATTGCTTGCATAATTGTACAGGCCGGTTATTAGACAGCTGTCACTCTTTACATTGGTTTTTATCACCAGCCACACTCTTTTATTTTATCACATTCATTTGTTGTACCTACCTCCTAATATTCACCACCATGAGATCACGGTGGTTACTCCCCCTCTTGGCGGGAACTGGCACTTTTGCCCTGCCCGGACAGAGATATTATCCCCGAAGCAATGATACTATTTCTGCCAGTTCCTCTTCAAGCTCCTCCACGACATCTCTGTACAACAGCACTTCCCAAGTCTCGACTTCTCAATCCTCGTCTACATCGGTATCTACATCAGTGACTACTTCAGCGGTTGTTCTTGCGGCTACCACTGTGGCCGCTGAATCGGAAGCCTCTTCTTCAGCAACATCGACATGGGAATACCCCACAGAGAAGCTTGGTCCTGTAGCAACACTTTTGCCCGCTATTCCCTATGATCACGACGGCGACGACATTGCCCATCTTACTCCTAAGGATCCTGGTTCTGGCTCTGCGATTCATTATGCCCAGGACAGTACCCCTGGTAAGTCACAGCGTATCTCTAGTAGCCGCTAAATGCCATACTAATAGTGATCTACGATAGGATCGGCTGGTATCTATGCCGTTGCTGTTCCCCGGTGGAATTACCCTTCCATTGTTTTGGATCACTCGTCTCTCGTTGTTGATGTTATTGTTACTTCGGCTGGAGATCTGCTTATCTCATTCAGGTTAGTTTGTCCAAATCTCTTTTTCATATCTGGTTGGATTGTAGAATTGTATACCACGCGAAAAGAGGCACTACTAACCCCTGAATCCATAATAGTGACCAATCTGCCCTCGACCACGCCTCTTCCAACTGGAAGCACGAGAACATCGTCTTCATCACCTACACTGAAGGCTGTGGAGACTATGCTCTCGGCCAGCGCTGTTACTTCGATGCCAACCAGGTCATCTTCGACTCCGAATCCCTTTCGGCTACCGCCGCGGGACAGGCAAAGGCTATGGAAGACCTAGTTTCTGACGTCAACCTAGCTTGGGGCGCCTATGGTAGCCAACCTGTTGCATATGGCACAGCAAGTGTCTCGGCAACGACTGTTTCCCCCACGACCGTTGAAACGAGCTCCCCATCCTCTACATACTACTCTGTCTCGCCCTCCGCAACCACCACTTGCGTTCCTCCCGCCGATACTAAATACGGACTTCCTACCGCGTGTCTTGGTCCTTACTTCGACGAAAACTTGGATGACGGGCTTGGATACCTAGAGGCGGGTAACTTCTCCTATGGATCTTTGGTCGAGAGCATTTTGATCGACGACGAGGCCGAGGTTACGAAGCGATGGGTTGTCTTTGACAAGATCTCCCAAGGCGCTTCCAAGTTGAAGGAGACCGCGAAGACCGCCATCAAGAAGACCGAAGAGAAAGTCAAGGGAGTTGCTGCCAGCGCAAAGAAGAACATTGGCGCTGTCCTTGTGAAGGCATACGAGGCTGGAAAGACTGTCGCTGAGGTCACTGGTAACATCATTGCTGGAAAGCCGAACTCATTCTCTAAAGGTTTGACTTACTCTATCCTTGATTGATAAGCATTATGGGCATATACTAATTCAGCTACCTAGATTTCGACAAGTTGATCCTCCCGCTCACGAAGAAGGAGTGCAGTGATGCTAAGACCGCCGACGAGAAGAAGAAGGTGGCCAATGCTTGCAGTCCCAAGGGCAGTGTCAAGATTGTCGACAGCCCCTGGGGTGATGCTATCCTGATCAAGACGCTCGGAAATGCCCCGTCCTCTACCGACCTGCGACCGTCCGGAAGCAAGAAGCAGACCACCGTGACCAAGGGTAACTTCATGAGCTTCTACTGTGTCAAGTGCGGTCTTACCGGATCTTTGAAGACCTCGGGAAACATCACCATTGTCGTCACCAAGGGTATCACTGACGGCCATTTCGTCGCTGACCTTGATCTCAACATTGGTGTCGGTCTTGGTGTCCATGCCGAGTACTACCGCCAAGACACCTTCAGGAACAACTTGTACGATGTCCCGGTTACACCGTTCACGATAGGTTTTGCCTCCATCGGCCCGGTCATTTCCATTGGTACCGAAATCAAGTGTAAGTGAATCTATTCGCCATAGTTCTTCCAAGGGAGCATAATGTACTGACCCCGTTTCAGACAGCGTCAACATGACGGGAACTGCTCTTGCGCGAGCCGACATCAGTCTTGCCCGTGCGCAATACCACTACGACTGGAAGAAGGGCGGTGCTACATCTACTGGATTCACCCCCCAGTTCAAGCCTACCTTTGAAGCCGAAGGCTCAGTCGAGCTTGCAGTCCAGTTCGGTGTACCCGTTGGTCTAGAACTCGCCGTCACCACCTTCAACGGCTGTGAGAAGTGCAAGGGAGCTGTTGGTGTCGAGACTATCCCCTCAATCAAGGCTGCTGCCGCCGTGGCTGTCCAGGCTAGCTACAACGCCACTGACAAGTCTTGGGATACTGGTTTGAAGCCCACTAACAACTGCTCTGGTATTTCCACCACCCTGAGCGTGAAGAACGACGTCAACGCCTTCTACAACGGATTCGGCCTGGTTAAGGGAAGCAAGAGTCTGCTCAACGGCACCGATCACATCATTGCCTCATACTGTATCGGAAACAAGACGGACGGCACCAGCAA